ATTTAAGCTACTCCAACTAAGTTTCCACCACTGGCAAAATTTAGACCAGGCATTATTCACAAAACCACAACAAACGAACAAATGGTCCAAGTTTTCTTGACTTCTATCGCACAAGCAACAAAAGCATTGTGCATCATCAAGGATCATTCCTATCCTCCTAAGAAAAAAAACCTTGAAGGAATTTTATCCAGTTTTAGCATCCACAAAAAAAATTACCATCGGAGGAGCCTTCATATTCCAAATCCTACCAAATTCGAACACGGGTTCCTCTAGATCCGCATTAATTATCAAATGAGATAGCTTTGTTATTGAAAACTGACCTACATTGTCGTGGACCGAAGTGATTCACTATAGAGTTTCAGGAAAAAGCTTAACATTCCTAATTTGATTCTCCAAAACCTTCAACATTGATAATTCCCTTTCTAAAAGTTCTCATGAAAAAAAAACCATCACTCCATGCCACTCCATCAAAACCCTCTTGTTTTACTACATCCGCAATCACTACACCTTTATTTTCTTACAAGCCTGTAAAGCCTCGTATAATCTTTTGTCAAAGGATCATTGTCTCTTCATAGGTCTTCCTAAAACAGAATTGATTTTCCATCCCTCAACAGCCATCTAAACTACTCAATATTCACCCGTCTACTTCCATCCCTTGTAACCCAAATGTTCACTATTGTACGAGACAATTAATACTCTATGAGAGTTAGACCATCATGACCTATGTGAGTCGTCAAAGGAAAATTATTTTCATACATTTACGCTACGTGCGGTACCATGAACACAAGGAAATAAATACCCATCTATTTTCAAACTTCTAAAGTAAACCGTGGTGTTAACCATTCTCTTTATTTCTCACATTTTAAACTAACATGAATTACCACCTTACATGAAGTTCATCAACAATCTCAGCAACTGAGAATATATTTGATGACTTGATATTGACGAAAGTCATATATGACCATGATGCAAACCTAAGCTATATATAAAATATTGATCATAAAGGAGCTTTACGAAGAGTATACTAGATTCAAGTCCTCCTTTGTACTCAAAGAAACATATTCAGTTCTTTAGAAGCAAATAACTATTTCCCATATTGATTAAAAGTGTTTTGTAAACCCATTAAAAGGACTAATAATAACAGAAATGGCATTGCTTCAACAAAATTACCTAGTGCGGTTGAAATTTTGTGATCAATGAGTACCAATCTAAATTGAGGGTATCGACTCCATCCTAAAGGCGAATTTGATGCATCGACAATATCTAAATAAACCGACAAATGATCCACATTGTTCTCATTTTGTTGTACATTACTTCTTTCCCTTGGGGAAGATAAGAATTCATATGTCAAATAAGTTTACAAATATAATTTATGGGAGACACACTACAAGTTAAAACATAAGCAACACGAAGAGTTCGATGCACTACACTACAAACAACAACAAAAAGACAGTGAACAGAGAAATATCATAACACCAGTAACGACCATCCAATACACCAAGAGCAACAAAGACTACCACCAAGCCTTAAACATCCGATGTCCCTGTACGCCAACTTTTGCAAGGGAATCCGCTACAGCAAAAGAGAACTAAATATTTCTAATCTGATTAACCCAGTTTTCAATTTCAAGAAAAGGATTCTACAATAAAAACGGTCTCAAATTAGGATTCAACATCCCGCACAATGTAATCTGAGAGTCGGATTCAACAACAAGACGAGTTTATCAACTTATTATGCTTCAATAAACACTCTCAAAAGCAGGACTAAGTGATGGAACTGTACCTAAAAGGTAGTATGAACCTCGCTAGAATGAGTCCACAGTACATCGCCACAGCCACTAACTCTCCATGTAATCATAAGCATTAAACATGACTTAGTACGATGTTAGATAGAATGTGAATCGAACTAAAAAATCTACTTTCAAAAAAGTTGTTGTAATATAGAGACAAGTATTCTTACTTGTCACGAATTGTCCGTCTAGCTCAGTTGGTAAGAGTGCAAGGCTCTTAACCTTGTGGTCGTGGGATCGAGTTCCACGGTGAGCAATTCATAATTCCATCTACCGGAGGTCTCCCATGAAAGCTGCTCTCAACCTTGCGTTAGGGCAGCCTACTATCATACCTCCCCCTTACCCCATTATATATGGGAATAAGATCAGCTAATTTTTTTTATTTGCCTATCACGTGGGTGACCCGGGTTTGATCCCTGGCAACAGCATGATCTATTCAATTTTTCCTCCTTAGAAAGAAAAGATTCTTTTTAAGCCTTAACAGTCCTCTCTTCCTACTAAACAACCTTGACTTTGGCCTCATACTCAGCCCATTCCTTTCCATTTTCATTTTCATGGATTAAGGGTGGAAGAGGAATAATTAAAACTAGCAATGATCTTGAAAGCCTTCTTAAGAGGAGAAAACTTCCCTGGATTGTGAAAATCAACTGGGGTCATATTCATGGCTTCATCTAATTTAGCTAGTGCTTCCTTCGCTTCTTCTTGAGAAACAACAATTTTGGAGCTCGAGAATTTATACCGTAAGCTAGAGAAGAATGTGTTCATATCTTCCTCGGTAGGCTGCTCAGGATCAATGGCCATGAATATCTTGTTGATTGCTTGAACATGATTTCTTGGACGGTGACTTCAAATCTAAACAAATTATGTTATTGATATAAATTCAAACAAATTCTAAAACGACTTACATATGAGATTGATTTTGATCTATATTAATGTATTTTTTAAATTAAAATTACATAAAATTAAATAGATCTCAAATTCAAATTAAATTATATTTTTTAAAAGATAGATCTCACATTTAAATACATTGAATGGATTAAACCCATAATTAAATAATTATAAATTTGTTCATGGTGAAATGTGGTGGGTAGTAAAGACAAATGTATCCGGACGAAGAAATGGTGCGAACTTAAGAAAAATTTTAAATTATTTATATCTTAAAATTTTATTTTTTTTTGCTACATATAAAATATATATGCTCACATCTTTCCTTATGTGGGTATATATGCTAATGGCCAAAGGAAATCCCATATTCGACCAATACCCTTTTATCCTTTTAAATAATCCCAAAGCAAATTCCAATTAGGTTTTTATTCTAATATTCTTAAATATAAAATTAGAATTTAAGGGGAAATTAGAATTTGAATAATATATCCACCAAGTGTCAAACAATATGAACCAGCAAAACTAAAATAGGATATGTTTTTTAATTAATATAAAATCCAACCACTAAAAGTAGAATAAAAGATTCGGTAGAGACTATTAAAAAAGTTGTACTTATTAGTGTCAAAATTTGCACTATTTTTAAGCATAAGCAGACACCCTTAGATAAATTTGAAAATTATATTTTAAATCAACAAATAGTTATACATAGACAAATATTTATAAATAAATTCATACTATTCTAGAAAATCATTAATTAAAATTTTAATTTTAAAGTAAACTTAAGTTTTCTCTTAATAATATTATGTCCTCTTTTTTTTCTTTGATTTTTATTTAGTCGACGGTGGCATTAATTTGAATAATGGTTATTGACCGTCGGTTATTATTCTTCTTGTTATTTTTCATATTATTTCCTTTGTAGTTATTTTTTGGCTTAATACAAAAAATAAGTGCCTAAATTGTCCCTCAAAAAACATTTTAGTACCTAAAGTTTTTTCATTACACTTTTAGGTGCCTACCGTTAAAAAATCGTTAAGTGACACGTGTCATATCCATATTTAAAAAAATATTTTTAAAAAATATTTTATTTTAAAAAAAATCAAGACGAGACTGGTGTTACTTTATTTTTTTTAACGGTGGGCACCTAAAAGTGTAATGAAGAAAACTTTAGGCATTTATTTTTATTGAAAAAAATTTTATGCACCAAAAATTAATTTTGAGTATATTTTAGGCACTTATTTTTATATTAAACCTTCTTTTTTCTCTTGAGTTTTTCAATTTTAAATAAGAATATTTGTCCTTATGACATGTTTTTCTATACTCTCATGGCATTTTTTATTTGCCCATGTGGCACGTTTTTTATGGCTTTGGTACATTTTTTGCATACCTTTGCAGTTGTATTGGTGCTCACACAAAGATCCTACGACATTTGTTTCCCGATTGTTTTGTCGGTTATCACGCATTGTCAAATATCCTCTTTGATAAAAGGTTGTTTGTCTATATAATTAGAATTATTTAGCGAAGCAGGTTGCCAAATTATTTAGTTCGCTCACCACTCATTTATCACTACATAAAGCGTTTCATTTGACAAAAACAAAGAGTTTTATGAAGGTTGTTGGGTTCTCTTGATGTTAGATGTCATTCTTAATAAAATGTTTAATTTGTCTTCCTATCATTAAGCTTAATATTTTTATTTTATGTATGAATTTTTTTGTGAATGTTGTCCCCAATTTTCTCTTTGAGCGCATTATAGTTTTGATTATTTTTATTTTTATGTATGAACCAATCGATCTCGGTGGTAGAGGAATTGTTGTTATTCCTTGAGGTTCCATGTTCAAACACAAAAAATACTAGGGATTTGAGCGTTTGATGTAAAATGGTAGATACTGATATTTACTTACACCAGATTAATCAAAAAAATTTAAGTACAACAATAAAATATAATTATAATTCAAAAAATTAGGAGAAAAGACTTAAAGTAAAAATAACTCCCTAAATTATTTTTTTAAGTTCCAAAATTAATTTTTTTATTAAAATAAGTCTTTAAACTATTTTAAATCATTTTTTATTTTTATTTTAAAAGAATTTCTTTTGACTAGATATGTCACACAAAACTAGATATTTGGTTTGATAAAAAAATATTTTAAGAGTTTATTTTGATTAAAAAATAATTTACGTACTTAAAGTGGCTACATATATTAATTTAAGAATTTATTTTAAAATAAAAATAATTTAGGGACCTAAAACCAAAAAAACCATAATTTAAAGACTCGTTTTTAGTTTAAGCCAAAAAAAATGTTAGCCTTGCTTGATGCCACAACACAACACAAGAAAAGAAAAGAAATAATAAGCTTTTATTACTTCATCTTCAATCAAACCTTGTACTTCACTCATCATCTCTTGTTTCTCTTCCAAACCAAATCCCCCAAAAGTTTTTCCCTTTTGAGGGAATTGCGAAACACATCATATCCATCATGGAGAATTCAACAAGGTTATTGCAAGAAAACATGAACTTCCCATCATCATCTCCTTTAAACTCCCCTCACAGCAATGGAACCATCAACAATGGGTCTGCCCAAATTCACACCCCACCATTAACACCAATCCCAACCAGATCTGAAACAACCACCTTTGTCCAAGCTGACACAACAACTTTCAAACAAGTTGTCCAAATGCTCACTGGTACCTCGGAGACTGCTAAACAAGATCCATCGTCGCTTTCAAAATCATCTTTCCCTGTACCTCCAATGAAAACCACCCCTCCCAAAAAGCAAAGTTTCAAGCTTTATGAGAGGAGAAAGAGTAACCTTAAAAACAGCTGCCTGATGATCAACACTTTTGTGCCCCCTAATGTCGGAAGCAACATCGGTGCCGAGATCTTGTCTCCAAGCTTGTTGGACCTCCCGAAGCTAACCTTAAGCCCAGTCACGCCATTAAACGAAGACCATTTCAACAAGTCTTCGCCTTCTTTAAGGAACTCATCATCGGAGGAAGAGAAAGCCATAGCTGAGAAAGGCTTTTACTTGCACCCATCGCCTATGTCAACTCCCAGAGACGCCGAGCCTCAGCTTTTGCCATTGTTTCCACTCACTTCACCCAGAATTTGATTATCTTTTTAATGATTTTGTAATTTGAGTTATTTGTGAGGGAAAATGGTAAATGATATTTTTTTCAATTCTATGATTTATCTGAGGTCGCATACAATACTGAGTGTTAGTGTAATCACTGTGATATTACAGTCGTGTAATAATAATTTCAGATATCACATTTATCACTATATAATGGTCGTTTATATCCGATGTTTAAATCACTATATTTTATCTTTATTTTGCTTTGCATAATTTAATTGTGGTTCATTTTTGTGTATTAATATTAGCTCCTATTATGTGTAGAATCAAAACTAAGTTCTGCTTTGTAGTTAATTTCAGCTAAAAGGTATCAGATATGTACCTTAACTTTTTGTGTATGAATTAGTAGTCATTAAAGTTGTGTTAAGAATGTCTACTTCCTTCTTAGATAAACCGAGTTGATTTTCAGAGCAAAAAAGAGAGAAAAGGCTTTGTTAACAAAAGAAAAGAGGGAGGGTTCACCTTTAACTATGAATTGCCGGCATTCAATAATGGATCAGCAATTAGTGTAAGAAGGATTTATCCATTTGAGTCCAATTTACTGGCAATTTTTTCGGTACATTTTCTTTGTATGAATATTTGGGTGGTCTTCTTTATCATATAATTGAAATATCTGTGCACACTCTTCATGTTACATACCAACTTAAAATTTTATGTTAAAAATATAAATTTTTAAAAATTATATTAAAATTTTAAGAGGTATAAGATAGTAACATTTTGAATGTGAGAAATTAGATCGTTAATATAAAATGTAAAGAAAAAAGTTTAAATATATATATTTTATATTGTGTAGGCATGAATGGGGTATGCAAGGTAGGTGAGGAACTGTGAAAATAAAAAAAAAATTAAATGAGCCACGTGTTGAACTTGTTAATTTCTTGATGGAACAGTAATCTATTGGTCATTCAGTATTTGTTTGTGTTCTTTTGCTCTCTTTTTGGTGTCATTTAATACATCAGGGTACAGCGGAAAACTATGACTTTTGGTGTGGATTATGATTGAAAGTTCAAAAAGAAGAAAAAGTAAACAGAGAAAATGTGAAGGCTTTTCAATTTTTCCTTCTTATTTTGAAAAAGAGAGTTGTCAGTGATTGAATTCCCAACAGTTTTTTGGAGCAGACGGTCACACTACTGACGACCACTTCCTTTATTTGCTGTACCAGTTTGCGGTGCAAGTGGGGTACGGGATAGCTCTCGATTATGTTTTTGATTCACTTGCTTCACTCAAGTTTCTATTTTTAGAACTATTACATTGTTTTAAAGCTAATTTTCCATTTTCTATTTTACTAAAAAATATATACAAATTTTTAATTGTTATCAATAATATTTTTACATAAATTATAATTAATAATTAAGTTAAATTTTATTGTAATTTAGTGGTTAGTTTTTTTAATAATTAAGTTAATTTAATAAAGTAAATATTTATTTTAGGAAAGAATTATTATGTAATAAAAATTATTGGTGACCAACTATTTGGGTTTATAAATAGAGATAATGTCTCTCAACCTTTAGAATACGTGAGAAAGAATTATTTTGGAGAGATGTGATACTTTTTGGGATCTCTGTAATTTTTTAGTTTTACGTTGCAGAGATAATTTTGTAGGGACTTCGAAAGAGTATTTTGGGATCTACCGGTTTTGGTATACATACCGAGTTTTAAGATACACGTGATGTTATGTATTTGTACTATTTGTGTTTTCTACGTTCATAATAGATTATTGTTCATCTTACACATAAAGGTAAACAATGCTGACCACGTTAAATATATGTCTTATTTTATGTTGATATTGCTTTAGTTATTTGCCCTCAAATTCCTAACAAATTAAAACATAAGAATAATTATAGAAACCCATAAAATTTATATCTACAAAAACTAAGAAGGTAAATGAAGTAAAACATGATTAAAAAAATGCCTACATTTTATTTAAGAGTACAAAATTAACTAATGATATATTTCATTAGTTTTAATAGGTTTTTTAATTCTCGTTTTCTTATAATCATTGATATCTAATTTATTAACCAACTAATCTGAATCGAATACTACATCGACCCAATATGAGGATGACTAAGATGATTTATAATTAAAAATATAATATTATAGTTTAAATATATTAAAAAATATTTAATTTAATACACATAAAAGAATTATACATTTAATTATGATATAGACTTAGAGCGTTGACCCAGTGTCAACATTCGAACGTTAACTCATAGTTTAATTGGATAAATTTATTATAGCATGAAGGTTCATTAGGTTAAATTCGGGCTTTATCAGGTAAGAAATAAGTTTAATTGGAGATAAAAAAAATTTATTGAAAGGCAAGAGATGAAGGATTAGGCGTGTAATTTGACCATTGTTGAATATGAGACATATTTGTGAGAATTCTTTCTTATTTTGGACGTGGGATTTGTAGGAGAACAAAAAGACTTTTTCCTACTTTTTCTCTCTTCTAGAGAAAATCATGAGTCAGAGAAAAGACTTCTTCTTTCGTTTTCATCAACACCACATCCAAAAATTCAAGGTAAGATTCATGACTCTTGGATCATATGCTTTCAGATGAGATCACCATCTTTTTCAACAGTGCTCATGAGCTCATTCGGAGGTTTGCGAGAGTTTAAGCTCCAAATGTTTCATTTCATGATTTCTATCTAATTTTCTTATTATTTAGTTGTTGTTTAACAACTTACATTCGTCATTTTCATTTTGAATTTTTTAGCTTTTGGTTAGAGGAAGAGTGTTACTGGAACCCCCCAAAAAGCAAGGTCAAAGAAAGATTGATTCTTAGTAAATCTAGAGAGGTTTTTGGGCTGCTAGAAGGTGAGGTAACACACTCTAACTCTTACCTACTACTTGTAGTGTATAATATCTAGCATTGCTTGCTTGTACGAGTAAGAGAAGCATGCGGGAATTTATGTGCTTGAAGATTATTGTGAACATTTTTTATGTTAGGTTGGTATAAAAATGTTATAACCCATAATAACTTCCATAATTTTTAATAATTAACCTAAGACTAAAAAGAGTGTTTGAGGTGAGTTTGGGATTTTTCATATGAAATATGACATTTTTGGGTTGTGGTATCGATACTTGATGAACTATGGTCAAAATATGTGTTTTCTGGGCAGTGATTTTGTAACACCCTAATCCAGTCCAACCCGAAGATCAAAGGATTAAAGCGTCACACGAGACCACCGAAGTGGCTAACCCAAAAATTTTCTTTTAGCACAACTATAAAGCATCATTTTAAAAACCATCCATATAGATATAAAATAAAGCGTAATAATCAAGTTTACAAATACGTGGAGCTCCCAAAATATCCAAAATAATAACAATACTAAGTTTAACAAAATAAAGTTACGATTGAATACAAAATGGTCTATAAATAGTACATGCTCCCTAATACAAATCAAAATGTACTCTGTTAGCCTCGGTTGATCTGGAATATATGGTGACGTTAATGCTCCATGGACGGTCTCCTAAGAACCTGTGCATGGAAGTACATTCCGAACATTGAGCTTACGAGCCTAGTGCCACATTAATAATTGTATTGTACTTGTTGAGTTCGATTGACTGAATCGACCAAGAGGGGGGTGAATTGGCAATAAAAATTTTGGTGGAAGCTTTTGCAGAAAATTGAAAGAAATTGCACAGCGATTTAGAGTGGTTCGACTTTATCAACCAAAGTCTACGTCCACTAACTTAGCTATCCACACTAAGGATTTTCCAACAAATTCACTAATTTATTCTTTTTTTTGAGGCCAAAGAGATAACCTTACAACTCCCTCAAGAATATACCCCAATTCTTGAGAACACTCTTTTCTCAAAGAGAAATACAAATTTGCAAACTTACAAGAAAAACCTCACAAGGCAAATATGTTTGCACAATTCTAGAACAAAGAAAGAACACTCAAGAATAAATACAATTGAGCACAATAAGTGTTCTTGAAAGCAAAATGAATATTGAATGAAAAATAGGCTTGAAATGCTCAAACTTGAGGTTTGATGCTTTCTCTTTGATTCTCTCTTGATTCTAATTGCTTGATGTTTCTTGTTATTGATCAATGGCTTCTAAGCTTGCTTAAATACACCTTGAATCACTTCTGAACGTTGGGGATAGTTAGAGAAAATAATATAGCCGTTTTAGTGTGAAAACAATTAATAAAACATCATGGAGCGTGGGGGGAATCAGTACCCCCTATGGGGAATCAGTTCCCTAAGTGTAAAATTCAAATATTTCGACCGTTATACAAGGGGGGAATCGGTACCCCCTGGGGGGGAATTGGTTCCCTCCGAGCATACTGGAATTCTCGGAGCCAAACCATTCAGGGGGAATCGGTACCCCATTAGGGGGAATCGGTTCCCTCTGAGCAATCTGGAATTTTTGGCTTTGAAATGGTTCGAAATACTTTGTAAAATTATTTTGAAATTGTTTTAAGATTAAAACTTAATTTTACACTTTGAGTAAGGATTAAAAATGATCTTTGAAAGATTTGGAGTAATGTTTTGATATTCGAATAATTCTATCGAATATACTTAGAAAATCATTTGGAAAACCTTAAAATTCATTTAACTTAATTTGTTATATCGAAATATCAAAATGTTTTCAACAATCTCCCCCTTTTTGATATAACAAAATATTTTAGTAATTTTAAGATTTTGAAATCAAGTTTTGAAATTACTCCCCCTTACTTTAACACTTCTCCCATTTATCATTTAAAACTTACTTTAACACTTCTCCCATTTATCATTTAAAAAACACATTTAACACTTCTCCCCCTTTTTGTTAAATCAAAAAGACATTTTAAAGAATTTAAACAAGGTTTTGAAATCATTTAGCCAATTGATTATATATAATATAAGCTGCTAATATCACAAGCAAGAGAAACGTTAGCCATTAGTTTCATAATCAATATTCATAATTAATGTGAAATGGCAAAATTGGTCATATATCTAATCATGAAGTAAATTATGCAATAATGAATAAATTTAGTCACACCAAATAGATAA